CCTTAGGTCGCAGTAAGACAAGAGTCCGATGCGAAAAGTGAAGGGGTGAGGCTGAAAAGACGGACGTGTCGAGGCGATGGAATGAGGAGTTGCAGATGAGATGATGGGAGAGAAAGATTAAGTTGAGAATGGTTGCAGAGGCTCAAGTAAGGTACGTCAGGGAAGAAACGTAACGCCAGGCAACGCCAGCACCGCCTAAGAGAGGGAGGGAGGGAATGAGTGGATGGGGCAGCTGACAACTGTAGATCACGTGATGTCGTCAAAGAGAACAAAGAGTACAGTCAATGTGATACTGAGTTAACGGGTATAGACAGAGCATGTGCAGCAAAAAAAAAGAAATGAATGAAACCACAGGGTAAATAACAAACTAGGTTTATTCGTTGTTTTGATTTTCTTTGCAGTGGTAATCTACTGGATATTGCTTGTTCTCATGCAACAAGACTTCCAGATATCACAGGGCGGTTTACCGATATAACACTATCACTTGTGATAGGAGCCAACAAGTTGACGTAGACTTTCCCAAAACGGATCAGCTTCCAATAGCAAAAGAACAGCAAGGCTTCTATCGTGCATATTTTATGAGGAACTTACAAACAAACATCGGAATGAGACTGCATCATTCCTTTGAGTATCTGCCTGCTTTGCTCCGTCGTTGGGCATGCAACGTAGGCATCCGTTCATTCTTCAACTATCATGAGGCTGTCGATGAGCCAAACTTAGAGCTTGTGCCGTCATTCACACGATTCAAGTGACTTGGCGTGTCACAAGTTAACACTAGATCAACTTCACCACCTTCTTCTTTAAGAGTGAGAAAGACGGCATCTATTGCAAACAGATGATCTTTAAGAAATACCAGATAGCGTCTTATCAGTGGATCCTGCTTCATTCGAGCCTCAATTCTCCCATTTTCTCCAGATTCCCATCGTCTTCTCTCCCACCCAAAGATCCCATCACAGTGGAAAAGACCCGCCCCGTCACATCCCGCTCCGCTGTCAATTTGTGGCTGTGGAGTCTTCTTCCTCAACCAATCAAGTCCAGCATTTCACAATCATGTCTCTTCCCTTACACTTTACTGCTGCCAGGTACTTCCGAGTCTACCCACTAAGCCATCGCAGAAAAAGTCCAAAAGTGGACATACCTTGAGGTTCTCTACCATCCAAGCTATCGGCAACACCTCACTAACACCAACTCAACTTGATTCTGTAATATTCTAGAGCCCCCCTAATCAAGTCACTCGACTTCTTCTATCAAATTTCACTCTTGATCCATGAATCTCTCCATTTTGCTGCGGTGACCTCCCAATGGCCGCGCCCATCCGATCCAGTCTAAGCCGCTCCAGCCGGACCTCTGTTGCCTCCATTCGCAGTCTCTCTAATGCTCGTCCGGCAAAGGCCCAGGTTCAGCCCGTCACTATAAGAGAACCTAAGCCTTCTCTACCGCCTTCCGATGCCACTCTTCTGGAGGACTATCTAAGGCGAGGCGCCTTGTCGAGGACATATTTCGATGCGACAGGCGTGCGATGGGTCGGATCTGGCGAGGACGGACCAAAGGACCCCAATAAGGCAAAGCTAGGAAAAAGTACATCACTGAGGATATTCCCATATCAGTAACACAATGCTAACTTACTATAGCTCTACGAGTTTTACAAGAACGATTACCAACGCTTCTACTACATCCTCTTCCTCACGACATTCTTGCGCCAAACATCGCCCTTCATCTCTTCCCTTCGACGCACCCTCACCTACCGACCGTCTCCGGCCGTGTCGCCTATAACGCCGCCCTCTGGACCTCCCCGATAGCATGGAACCGTGTCCCCATTCTCGGCAATGTCTGCATCGAGGTTCTCGCGGAGCGCATGACAACGGAGCCCCTCACATTCTTACCCCGCCGTGCTGGGGCGATACCCGAGCAGCTCGTGGTCCGCTGGTGCGAAAAGCGAAAAGGTTCAGACAGTTCTTCCGGTAAAGGAGTGATCGCCCGCTCCTTACCGTTTGGACGAGGGGTAGACCCAGACAAGGCATTCACGGGACTGTTTGTCTTCGATTTCGATGCCGAAGGACGAATTCTAAGCCATACCATTGAGCAGGCACAAGCTGGCGGCGATTGGGAGGCCGGTGTAGGTGCAAAGGTTGTCGGTCTGACTGATTGGCTCCTTGGAGGTTGCAAGAACCCCGGCACTCCTATACCGATGTTTGAACGAGTACGAAGACGACGATCCATCTAAACACTCGCTGTAGGGTGGACAGTGATGGTATGACCCCAAGGGGCGTGTTCTTTTAGAAAACGAGAGCGATATACGGAGGGATATGGCATCATTAGAGGCGTTTCCGGTTGCATCTTGATCAGCACCAGCATTTCAAGGCTGGTTTGGGTCGTGGGATCTTTATCCAGAAGACAGTGTACAACAATGAGCCACGAGACTCCACACACATTCAGACTTTGTATAGCTTTATAAATTAGCCATTAAAGCTCATTTTTAGACAATTCCTTGCCTTCAGACAGTTCATGCCATGAATCTCGCCTTCGGACCATGATTTTGTGTAATGGAGCCTAGCATTGTCGCGTTCATGGTCATGGTCTCGAATTCGAACAGAGTCTGAGTTGTGCAATTGATACAATTAGTAAATTCCACTGGTCCAGTCATGACTCATGTGATTGTTGAGAGTTACAATATGGGGATGAAATAAGCTATCGTCTAATATGAAACCAGTAGCGAAACTCGAAAAGATTTACGCATAAAGGTTCACATAAGCTTCACATCTACCAGAGACCTCTTGAATGTTTGTCAATGGCTTGCTACCCGCGTCTGACAAATCATGGTAGCAAAAGCGTAAAGTGCCCAATTATGGTAAACAATGGATGTAGCGTCGTGAAGCTCATGTATTCATACGCGCTATTCGCCTCTAACCTACTGTATCGAGGCTTTAATTCCAGAAGAGCCAGTTCATTCTCGAAGCCGACATCTCCTTGATGGTATATGGGCATTTCACAATATTCTGCTCGAACGACCATCAGCCAGAGCACTTCAAAGCACCCGGCAACCTAAGCCTGCTTCCAGGCCTTGTAATTTCAGATAAATACCAATATCCAAACGTCCTCTAGAGAACGATCTCGCCAATGTTCTCGCCCTCAAAGCCCTGCTTCGCAAGCTTCTTAACTCGCGCTTTCTCCCTTGCTTTGTCGACGGCTTTCTTCTCCTCTGCGAGCTTCTTGACAACGTCTAGCTCTCCGAGCTCAAACCCAGGAGGCGGATCGTCGTCCCTGTCGAGGTCGATTTCACCAAGGAGGAGTACGTTTTCACCTCGGACGAGGAATATGCCGTGATTTATATCGGCGTACAGACCCGTTGGTCGATCGCTACCTGCTGACTCGGGGGAGGGCGCAAAGATACGTTCGATGGTAGATTGGAGGACGAGATTGGCTGGTTCAGGTCAGAAAAGGGATGTTCTCCATGTAGTGATTCATTTCCCCAAAACCCACCGAATTGATCCCAGCTTCTTAGCACGCCGATGAGTTTTCTCCCATCGCGCAAAGCGACCATGAGCTTCTCTGCAATTATACAGTGGTCAGCACACGATCCTTCCTTCTCCCTGCTTTATCGAGTCCAACCCTTCTCATGAACCGGAAACAGGAATGAACTGGTACCATGGCGGAGTCGTACTGTCTGTGAGATCCAGGAGCTGCGCTGCAGTCGTGAACATCTGCGGCGGCAACTGGGGGAGCGGTTGCGGCGCACCGCGGCCCTGTGGAGGGGTATCGGCGATAGATAGGTTCTCCATGATATCGTGATGGATGAGGTTTATGGTGCTTTGTGATGTCTTTTGTGGCTGCGAAATTCTATTGATCCATGGAGAGTTCTTTTATGGGCTTATGACATGAACATTGCGAGGAATAGGTTGCAGCGGTCGAATAAAGGGAAGTTGCTTTAGGTCGTTGATGCTTTGACGTTGATCTAAGGTGTTGCGGATCCCATTACGGCAAAACAGCGCTATAACGATGGCGGGCATTTAGCTGCATATCGCCATAAAAAGCCGAATTCAACAAAACATGCCATCAATTTTCTGACTTCAGTGCGGGGCATTTTTAGAGAGCAGATGGAGGGGCATTCTCATCTTGGCGGGGCAGAAAGTCAAAAGGTCAGGGAACGGAACAAGCAAGAAATAAGCATCCATGACAAGGTCTTGGCCGCAGTCTCTTAGTGGTCGAGAGCTGCAGCAGTGACTTGCTTGTGCGTCATTATATGCCATTCGGCAAAGGGTTCTTCTTTTTTTATGTCTCATTATTTGGTGATCTTTTCACTCTCACTCTCACTCTCACTCTCACTCTCACAAGCATCAATAAAGCAACCCCCAGCTTCAACTTGTTTAGATGCGCTCAAGTGAGGGGAACCGCCAAGTCTATTCAATCCCACCATGGCCAGGCGAGTTACTAAGATTTCGTCCCTCTCTAGCGGGTGGACCGATGCGCATATTTGCCTCCCCGTCGCGTCCGTCTTCGGGCTAGACCCCGATATAAAAGCAAGAATCCGAGGGCAGCCAACCTTTTGTGATGCTTTTCCGGTCCTATTCATGAATTGTAATAAGATAACCCTCTGATCTCGATGCTCGCACCTTTATATGCCGCTCAAGTATCCCGCCCCGTCCGAATTCTTAGATGTGTAAAAAAAGAAAAAGAAAAAAAACAATACTCTATCATGTTCCAGCCTAAACGCCTTTGGATGGATGCACATTGTAGTCTCTATATAGAGAACTGAAAAAGAGGTGGTAAAAGAAGAGGTGTGTTTCAACTCAACTCAGCCTAGACTGAGTTTCTGGGACGAGCACGTGTCATTCCTCTCATGACAAGAAAATGGAAAGAACTCCGTGGAAGTGACGGTGTATCACAATCCACTCAACAGCCAGGAGACAAACCCATGTCGTCGCAACTGGATGGAGGACCGTTCAAGGATGGAAATTGGTCACTTCCAAGGCCAAGAGAGTGCATGAGAGGAAGCCGTGAGGCTATTGACGATTTACAGTAGACCGTTGTAAGGCCTCCTGTAGCTCTGGTCTTGTTGACAACGCCTCCCACGCCTGGGTAAATGTGAACCACTGGCGTTCTCGCTTGTGAGATTCGGGCCAATCGTCGTACTCGCTGGTTACTGTGCCCTCGAAGAAGTGGTATCTTGACCGATCTTTTGACGATTTGGGCGCACGCTTCTCATCAATGTCACCAAGATCGTAAGTGATTTGAACAGTGATGCCAGCTTCTTCCCAGGCCTCTCGCTCAGCGGCTTCCTGGCAAGTCTCGTCAGACTCCCAGCCGCCCTTGGGCAGTACCCAGCCTTTGCGCCGGGTGGACTGAATCAACAGTACATAATTTTGATCGGGAGTGAGAGGTACGATGCCAGCGACGAGACGTTCACCCTTAGTGTTGTAACCTATAGTAAGAAGGAAAATGTCAGTGATGGTATCTTGAGGGTATCGATTGAGAATTAGGGAGGCCGAGAAGTTGTCAAACTGTTGCCCAGACGAGATCCATCACACCACAACAATGGCAGCAAGGATGGTATAGAAGACATCAATACAAAAGCTTCATAAAAGACCAAGGAAGTCAAGAGTGCCGAGAAGGATGCTTCCAAATGGAAAATATTGTATTGCGCATCAGGTAAAGACTCACGTTGCTTGCTTCTACCCACTCGTGACTCCATCGAACGGCCACCGCCCGAGTCACCAGAGGCAGAACTCGACATCTTCTTAGTGGGAAGTTACGGCGGCGAGTGACGGGAATTGGGAGGAATGTCGGGGAATTTGGTCGAACGAGAACAAAAACAATTGTGTTCGTGGATCTCGAAAAGCGATGATGCGGGCAAGAAAGCTTCAAAGGTCCTCGGAGGTAGCGGAGTAGAACGGATGTTCACCCCTGGGTCGAGAAAGAGAGAGAACGTGCGATGGGCGGGCGGGTGGCTTTCAAAGAGCCTTGAGGAGCATCATTGTCGAACAGTGAATAGTTGGTAAAAGTCTGGTAATCAAGTGAGGTAGGAATGAAGAACAGAAGTGGCCGTGGCCTGCGCCAGAAGGTGCTGGTGCTTGGTTTTTGGTCGGGGAGAGCCCAGACGCTCCAAAGAGCTGGGCTGGCGATGTGATATAAACTGCAAGATGATGGAGGTGTGGGCGCGCACGCGCAAAACGTCCCAAGTTTAGCTCGAAGGGGCAGCGGGCGACTCGGCGGATCTCTCTGTCTGTAGGTGTCTGGCGGAACCCGCAGAGCAGGTACGTACTGTAGCACTGTACGTAGGTACAGAACAGACTGCAGCGAAGAGGGTTTGGCTTGGTTGGGGGGCGTGTAGGTACGGGAAGCACTGGGCGCTCGGCGGACAAGCCTTCAAGTAGGCTAGTGACACCAGACAGGGACTGGACGCGGAGGGAAAAGCTGGATCCTCGCCTGCCTGGGATGGAGTATGCGTAGCGTGTCAGAGGTACTGTCCAGTACTGTGATGTAGTGCTTGCAGTGGACTTTAGGCCTAGACTTGCCCCGGCGAAACGGTACGGCAGCCCAGCAACTTTTCGCTTTCGTAGGTGAATGGATGGTGGGCGGTGGCACCCTGTAATAACAGTGAGTCGCTGAAGCGTGGAGTGTGGAACTGAGGACTTTCGCTGGGTCAACCGATGCGAGGCAAACTTTGATTAGAAATGGGGATAATAAGTCAGAACGTGAGAGGTTCCCCTGTTTTAGTTGCCGCGGCGTTTACCAAAGTGACTTGTGTTGGCTGACTGATACTGATGTGATAGTTGGCCGTGACGTTGATGGTCAGAAGCGAAGAGGCTTGGTTCGAGTTGAGAAATTGCACGCCAAAGCCTTTGTAGCAAAGGCTGAGATCCAAAAGCTTACGAATCGGGGGAAGATGAGATCGATCGGTGACAGAGGTATTGGCAGGGTGTTGAACTGTCAAAATAATGATAAGAAAGTGTTATTTCATGCGACTATAGTAGCCAGCCGCTTGGATTTAGATACCTGGATAAGATTTTGCTGGGCTGAAGCTGAACCGTGCAGGGTGGGCGCTCTTGGTGATGGTTTGAGTACAGAGTTGAGGCCGGAGCTTTGTGACAGAATATCAAGCAATATTCAAAAGCTTCCGGGTTATCAAGAAGAGACCGTGTCTTGAATAGAGTCCTGAATTTAAAAAACTGAAGGTTGAAAAGTTGTATTCATTTACCAGGCCCAAGTTGTAAGGAAGGTATGAACTTGTCAACATGCAATGAAAGGAACAAAGGTGAGATGAGTTGCCGTGTAGGTAATCTTAAAACCACCTCATGTCTTGCGCATCCAACTAACAAAGGGAACCAGACTCTTACAACGACAGGGTCTGTTACTTTTATACTCGAGCTCATCTCGATAGGCAGATGGTGCATGGATGCCCAGATTGTACCAGCACGAGTCTAAAAAGCTTCTTCTGAGCTGAGCACCTCGGACTGTAATAGAAATGCAGGGTTACCCAATGACTCTACAACCATACATTCTCAGAGAGGCAATGGGCGTGGGAGATTGTTGTGTATGCATGACGGAATGGGAAATCTATCGTGGGGAGAAGTTTGTCCTCTTTCTTTCGATGATTAAGGTAATGCCACACCCCCAATCTGCTTCTGCTGGAAACCCTCGGGTTTCTTGAACCATGAGAGTACAGGGGGGAACCGAGATGTAGAATAGTTGGATTTGGCAGTACTTAGGAAGATCTTGACCCTCATAACGGTAAGATATTACAAACCCAACAGCAGATACTTCTATACTAGATCCGATGAACCAAAAAAAATACACAGGCCATTAACAAAACAAGTGCCCCATCTTGTCCCGCAAATGTAAGTCTAGGGCATTGAGATGGAGAAATATTCTACAACAACAATGTGCTATCTTATTAATCATGGCCATGACAGAACGTGTGCTTTGTGGTGCCACTAGTTTGTCAAAAAGTTCTTTACAGCATCCCTGAATGGCATGTGCAGCAGTATCTGAAATATTGGAAGTTAACAAAAGTTTCGAAAGCTTAGACCGGTGGGAATGCAGGATGGTTAATTTATCGTGAAGGAAAAAGAGGCCGAATAGTTTCAACGTCCAGTAGATCACAACCAATAGAGGACCATCACAACTCCTCCAATGCAACAATCAACATTCGTGGTACAAGAATGAGCCTCAGAAAAGAGACACTGCTTTACTACACACCCACCAGTTTAGTAGCTGTTAGGTTGGTATTGAAAGCGGTCTCGAGTCGGCATATCAGCAAGCGGACGGAGGTCTTGTTTCGCAGCGTGGGGTCATCCATGCCATTGGCAACGATGGAGGGACGGGGCTGCAGCTTCAGGATCGCAAAGACTTCAACTTGACCTCTTCTCAATTCACATGTTAACAATGATAGGTTCATCGTCGTCCACGGACAGCTCCTACACTGTACCACATTAACCCTGACGTACGATGCATGAAGAAGCAGCAGCAGTAGTAGCACGAGAGGGGATGTGAGGGGGAGGGGTAGAATGCGCTTGTACAAGCAGAGGAGCAAGCATTGGGTCCATCCCATGGATGGAGTAGCAGAGTAGGTATCGTGAAAGCGAGGCGAGAGCCTTTGATCCTCACTGTTGGAGTCCTAGTGGCCGAAGTGCGCATAATCCTTGACACTGATGATCATTGGAAGAGAGAATCTGATATTCTTCAACATCAGTTCAGTCACCTCAAACTCAAGCTGCAGTTAAAGACCTAACAGACGTCATGTCGGTTAAGCCTCTGCCAACTTGAATGTTACAATGCATATCTAGCTCGTCTATTTTAACGCCGGACTCCGTTCCCTCTCAACAATACCTACTCGACAAGCAAGCTCTTGCTTCTCGATGCTAGCAAAAAATTCGTAGCGTCTCTAGCTCGGCAAGCCTCCATGGAGTCTTCCACAACCAGTTTCCGGAGACGAGACCGAGAAAAGGCCCGCAAGTCGGGTGATAAAAAACATTGGTTCCGTGATTGTCTCGAGGCGAGTCCAAAAACTGTCAAAAATCTGCAGAGCAATGGAGCAAATATAGCACAAAGATGCAACACACTAATGCCGTATCGTTGCTCGATTCGCCTGGGACCACCGGTTTGAGGCTAGACCTGTAGGTTTCTTTCTTTTCGTTTCGCCTCATTCGTTGCACAGCGACTTTTTGGCTGCAGCATGCAAGGAATAATAGAATGTACTGTACCTGTAGAGAGGCTAGTCATCAACGTTGAGGGATTGGCCACCAGAAGCCAGGGCAACCGATTCCTCCAATCCTGTCTCGTTATTTATGCTCTGAAGAGACAGGTACTTTTTTACGAGGATGAGATGAGATGACAGATATGTAAGAGGGTTGGTGACACAGACTCAGCCTTGTATCGAATCCGGTTCCGTAAATGCTGGAGAGGTCGGAAGTCTTCCTACTGGATACGAGCCGGGCTTGGAATATTTTGTGTTGTATGCTGGGCAGTTGTCGAGGGTAAACTGGGGTATTTGCAGTCTGAGTTAGCAATGAGATTGGCTTTAAGCATAGTGTACATACATATTATACAACAGCATACCATAACCTTGGATCTCTGATTGCATAAAATGAGTGCATGTGAATTTCGAGATTGCTAACAACACTGCAGCTAACAAATGCCCTTTTCTTGATTAAAAAGCTATCGCCAATGAGTTGGATGCCTAAGGTAGATAATTGTAGGTGAGCAGCCCTATTTTAGGTGGCCAGAATAGCACCCTGACATTAGAATGGAAGCTGCAGCTTGCAGTGGTTGTTGCCTTGCTTGGAGCTTGCCTAGCGGAGCTGAGCAATGGTTGATCTCATCCATCATCCATCTTCAACCTTCCGCTATCTTTCCCAACTCACCATAAAACCCAGCATCTCCCACGTATTGTCATTCAATTTATTCCCTTGACATTCTTTCGGTCAATCCTATATGGGGCACCATACCAGCCCAGAGTAGCTTCTAAACGATATCGGAACCTTGACGTGGAGTCTACATTCTACCGGTAGTCGCTTCGAAACCGTTGCACAACTACAGTACGGTCTGGCCTACAGGTGTTCCACACCCGTCGGTTTCTGTGTCTTTGAACCCCTGTTCATCTACACTAGCTTGGTCGCCTAAAGTTAGATCGAAACAGCTCGATTTTGGTCAACTCTGTTGCACATGCGCGCACACGATCACATCCCTCACTCTCAGCGCCAATCCCTGAATATCATCCGCAGCCAGCGTCTCGTCATCATTATTCGTGTGCACCCCAAAAACCAACTGGGTTAACCGTCTTTTCACCAACCGCAGACACAACATCCCACGCTCACGCATTGAGAGGGGAATCAGCAGGCACGCGATCGCAGCTTTCGTCGCCCGTTAAACCTCCCTCAACAAACTCTCACGCCCCCTCCATTCTCAATCTCCAAGACTCGGGAGTCCGCCCCTCTCTCCGTCTTCCTCCCGCTTGAGGGACGTACAGTACCTACGTGTGGTAATTACCTACCGTACCTCACGCAACGACTTGCCCCTCTTGGATAGCATTGCTCGTGCCTCGTGGGTAATTTAAACTCCTCGTTGTGGCCCGTGAGAAAGGTCCGGCGCCCCTCATCCGCCGTACACCACCGTTGTCCTTCCGTCTCCGGCAATACATCATCAGAGCATTTCACCTATTACCAACAGCCCTTTGAGGAACACGACTCCAGTTGTGCAGTGCAGGTTCAAGGTTCACAATGGAACCCAGCGGCATGCACATCCCTGAAGATGCGTTGTTGCAGTACGAATATATAACCCCAATTGGTGAGTGCTTATTCCCACGTTCTTCTCCAACCGATCAGCCCCGTGGTCTAATGCCGGCCTGTCGTTGGTTGCCGGCGCCTGCGCTTAAGCTCCGTCGCGGCCGGCCCCCGTGGCGCCCCCGTTTTCCCCGTCCGGGACAAGTTCGTTCCATATTCATGTCCCATTTCCACTTGACCCTTTCTTCACAATTACATGGAGCCCAAGTGCATCCACATCCACGTCCATATCAATCCCAATTTAGCCTGCAGACGGCTTCCACTTTGGTCAATGACAGACAGTTGATCATAGTCTCATGTTCCACGGTTCCGCAATCTTCGTGGTCGTGCGTCAGGGATCAATGCCACTATCATTTCATTAGCACTCCTAGCTTACGTCTGCTCACAAGTGTGTGCGTGTATCCCGACTTCAAAACTTATGTCTGCCTCTCCAAACATGCATACTATTGGCTTGTTTCTTTGCTGTATTCACGAAGTTGTATCTCAGAATCATTCCTTTGAGTTCAAGATTGGCAAGGCCATTCCTGGCCCCAATGTTTCTTAGCTTAGTATTGTCGTTGGCCTTTGTGTAAAGCACCAATAAAGGTCCAAATCACAGACGATGACATTTTATTATCATATGATAAGGCGTAGCAAGGAAGCTTCAGGATTCATGTCCTATGCTATACCAGACGTCAAGTATCATTTGGGTCATTTTCCACTTCTACTTTACATGACTTGCCTTACTACTCCCCCACGCATAATCTCTATTCATTGACATCTCAGAAGAGACTACCGACCCCATCATATACCCCCACGCAATTGCCGTTCGTGCCTTTCTCTTCACCGAATGCTGACTGATGCCTAGGATACTTCAAATCATCAAGATGCGGTTACTGTGGGAAACGTGACAAGAGTCAGTCAAAACGTGAATTGAGCCCCTGCACCTCCACCACCTTTTGACCACCCCAAGACTCGCATACACTTACGTCACGAGACACCTGTGATTATACGGCCGTGTCATCGGTGATTGTTCTGAAGCTCAGATTAATCACTTCATATAAGCCCTTGAGTCACACGGTCTCTTGAACGCAAGGCTAACTAGTACGTGGGGTTACAGGCTACGCTTACCATGCAGTGACAACTTCTTTGAGTCCTGCGTTCTACCAATCTCTCCTTGACAGATATTGGAGACGTTCAGGCACTCTCATGTACCGACCTGATCAACGTCGGTCATGTTGTCCACACTATACTATTCGTCTTGATTCTAGCCAATTCAAGCCATCTAGAGATCAACGACAGACCGTCAACCGTTTCAATAAGTATGTCATGGGAGAGGCTTACATGAAAGAGGCGGCTCGCCTGTATCCCAAGTCGCGTGATCAGGCCAAGAAACGGGATAACCATTTTGATCTCGTCGAACGAATTCATGAGGCTGAGGAGGCTAACCTAAAGAACCCTCCCGAGGCTGCCCATAAACTCGTCGTGACTTTAGAGCATGACGATTGTACGGATGAGAAGTTTGCCGTCTACCAGAACTACCAGGCGGTAGTTCACAAGGAGTCTCCGGACGAAGTTACCAAGAGCGGATTTAGACGCTTCCTTTGTGACTCACCTTTGAGGAGAGAAACAATGGTGACATCCGATGGGCGTAAACGTCGTCTGGGCTCGTATCACCAATGTTACAGGCTAGATGGTAAGCTAGTTGCCATTGGAGTGCTTGACCTCTTGCCCGAGTGTGTAAGCTCAGTGTACTTTCTTTATCATGAGAGTATTCACCAGCATGCGCCAGGCAAGCTTGGTGCACTGTATGAGATTGCTTTGTCCATTGAGGAGGGCTATGGCTGGTGGTACCCAGGCTATTATATACACAGTTGCCCCAAGATGTGGTACAAGGTTGATTACTCACCTCAGTATGTCCTTGACCCTGTCTCATTGACATGGGACCCACTGGATCGAACTGTGCTGGATCTCCTCGACAAAAAGCCGTACGTGAGCCTTTCGCTTGAAAAGGAACAAGCCTCTCGCGAGATCGAACAAAGTTCTACATCACCTGGCAAGAATACAAAAGAGAGCGACAAAGCGGAGGACAAAGGGTCCGACTCTGCGGCATCCGAAGATGAAGATGACAACAACTGGTTGTTTGCTACTGGGATGCCTGGCATACCTCCGATATCCACGGTGGCTGGCTGGGATATGGATCATATCGCTTTGAAGGTTTCCCCGAGAGCCCCATTATACGAAACCTCAGATCTTGTCAGCTGGGATGAACAAGGGATCAAGGAATATCCGGGGATGAGAGCTGGTGTTGCTGAGCTCATCGCAGCAATTGGCCCTGACCTGATGGACCGGATTTGCCTGGACTTTTCCCGAAGACATTAGGCGAAGGTTTCACGACTGGGATGCTAATGGGCACTTTGAGTGTCAAGAAACGGTTTTTGTTCATATCTTGTATGCCAAATCTTGAGAATCAGCTCACAACTCAACACATTTCACCGCTCAACATATTTGTAACGCCTAACGAAAGAATATATCAATGAAGAAAATATGCCATTTACAAAATTTGAAGAAAGAACAGATGTTTTGATATCCTAATACTGAAGTTATACTATATAAGGTACTATGTAGTGTAGTTAGACGGGCAGAATTGATTGGTGGTGGAGCTATGCTTCCCAAGCTGTCACCCCGCCATCTCCAACCTCAGCCAGCCCACCACACTTTTTGTCTTATCTTATCACTCACCGAGGTGAAGGACCAACCTTTTCTTTCAACACCGAAATCCAGAGTCATTACCGTTTCGCGTCGCATCTCTCATTCAAGCGGCCAAGCGCGCCACCTTCAATACCGATCGCAGAGCCTCGTATACAAACTTATTCACTGGGTATTTGCCTGTACCGTCATCATCATGGCGTCCCAGATAAATCTCTTCTCGCCAGCTGAACTTGCCTATCTTCACCAATCACTCTCTTTACATCCTCCAATCCGCCCCGATGGGCGCACACCGACGCAATTCCGTCCCTTGACAGCAGAGACGGGCGTTCTGCCTGGCACAAACGGCAGCGCGCGCGTACATTTCGCTGATGGTACTGAGGCCATTGTAGGAGTCAAAGCTGAGATTGAGAAGACTGGAGGAAGCGAGGAGCAGCAGGACGAAGATCGAACGAGGAGTGACTGGCTCGAATTGGCAGTCGAGATTCCAGGACAGAGAGATGATGAAGCCTCGACAATATTTCTGGCAGAGATGTTGAGAGAGGCGCTGTTGGCGGATAATGAGTTTGCCAAGAAATTGAGAATCAACAGACGGTTTCACTGGCGACTATATCTCGACGTATGTGCTCACAATACAAAGAAACAAACACAGTGCTGACATGGTACAGGTTCTACTAATATCTCCTCCACTGTCATACCCTCTCCCACTACTATCACTTACAACACATCTTGCTCTTTTGGCAACACGCCTGCCCCGTCTTAAGTCGGAAGGCGACGAGGATCCCATGTTTGACGACGATTGGGAGGCGTCGACTTTCTTGTACCCTCGCGATGGTGCAGATGCGGCAGGTTCACGTCCACCCATCACACTTCTCGTTGTTGCGATTGGCGACAACACTATTTTCGACCCTGCAAAGGAGGAGCTGGCTGTAGCGGAGACAGCGCTGGCCGTATCTGTGGCGGAGGTCCGTCGAGTCGCGACTGAGGGCGGCATGGAGGTTGACAAGAAGAGCCGCGAGCTCAAGTTGTTGTCGATCCGAACTATTGATCCGCCATCAAGGCTCACACCGCCTGGAGTACCGCATACGACCAATGGAACCGCACAAAAGGGAGAGGCTCAGACAGCTGAGGGCGTGTGGAAGGCACCATTGGGTGGAACGAAGTTTGGAGTAATGGACAGTATAATACAAGCTGTTCTGGAGAAGGGTGGTGTTGCGGATGAGGTTTTGGAGGGCTTGGAGGGTGTTGAGCTCACATGAGACTATGTATGAGTTGAATATGGTTGTGATAGAAAACTACAAAGCCTCACAAGGCTGGATTTCATGTAATCGTACAACGTATGATCCCTGGGTATGGAGATCGTTATGCTACAGCTATATCATACATGCAGATTTTTGCATCTTTGTTTTTACATATGCATCTTAGAAGACACCAAACCACTTCTTCTTAGGCTCTTCAACCTTTTCTTGCACCTCGGTCTTATGCACGGGTTCTTCTTCCACAGCAGTTTGCTCGGGCTTGGGGTCCTCCTCACCCTTGCCAAATACAACAGTCACAGGGTCCTTTGTCTCGATTCCGTGCATCTTCATGAAAAGTCGGCGCTTGGCTACATCGTCGAGGTGGTTGGTTCGGTGGTCCCTGGCTTTCTCGGCTTTATCCTTCTCGTGCAGGACAATGACGTTCTTCCAGGCGACGAAGAAGTGAAGGGGGTGCGTCCAGAGGTCTGAGATGGGAGGTACGAGCTCCTTGTATGGAGAGTTGTAGGCGTAGTTCATGAAGAAGGTGAAAACACCAAGGGCGAAAAGAGTTCCCTGGTGGGAGTTAGTTTACTGCGTGCATTGACGGCAAATTGAACAGCTATAGCTGTATAATAGACATACCATGGTGATGAAAGTATGCAGAAGCCTACTGTGCCAGAAAAAATGCTCCCATGTACCCTCAGGAGCCATCATACCAGGATAATGCTTCTTGTTCTGAGCAGCGACCTCGGAAGCGGTGAGCTCAGGACCATAATGTTTAGGCACATGGTTCTTCTTGAGGCGAGAACCATGAGAAGGAGGATTGAAGCGAGCAGGCTTCTCGAGAACAATAGGTTTTCCCTTTGAGGATGAAGAGGCGAAGCGAATTCGGATGCTGTTCTGCGAGAGCGGGATGCTGATACCACGCCAGAGAGGACCCTGAAGAGGGAGAAGAAAGCGTGGGATGATGGCGCGGGATGCCATTGTTGGTATATGGAACAGATCAGAGCGATATGTGCCTTTGTTGTTCCTCCTCTTGAAGCCTTGGAGCTTTGTTTATTGTGGTGGTTTCGTGATGCCCTCACGTCTGCCCAAACAAGAAGAATCTTTTTTCCGGAGCCGTTAAGAAACAAACGACGTCCCGGGACGGAGGTCCCACTCCGTTTCTCTGAGCCGGTTGACCCTAAGCTATTACGGGGTTAGTGCAAATTTGGCCTGGGAAAAGCAGGTCTTGACAGGGTCACAAGATTCCAGTGACTGAGGAATTAATTTTTTTTTCATGATGAGAATGACAAGAGCCTGAGGATGACATGACTAGACCGACCCCGGAATAAAAGCCATCGTCGATTGAGGACCCGCTTTTGGGTGTCATGTCCCGACTTTACCCGGAGCCACATTCACGGTCGACAGGGGGAAGAATGTCGGCTTACTTACTCTTGCACTGTGATTGGCTTAAAAGGCTTCAGCCACCTGTGGCGCTCCAAGAGAATTGAGCGATCCGGCGTGGTCCTGAGCCAGTTGTGTCATGCTGTCATAAAGTTTTATTTTCTTGCTTCGGATGTTTTTCTTTCTCTCTCTCTCTCCTTCTCTTCTCTTTTCCACATCCACACTCTCAACCCTCAAACGACTTCTTGCTCTCGTCTTTGGCTAACGCCTCTTGTTGATTTTACTATCACCTTTTAACTCTCTAATCACAAACCACATTCACAATGGCTGGCGGTAAGTTTATCCTCACAGCGTCCTTGGTTTGCGCCGGTTGTAGCGCAAGGCTTTGAGAGATGCAATTGAGGAGAACGAAAGGGGAGACGCTTTTCGCAGAGGATATTACGACTTTCAATTCGGGTGTCGAGGGAATTTGGGTCCTTGACAATGGCAAACAAGATTGCTTTGGTCACCAGCTGAGGTTGGCCGGCTGACCCTGCTGCCTGCGTCATTTACCCAGAACCGGTTTTCCCATGACCACGAAGTGTTCACCAAGACTCACCAACAACTCGTGCCACGCCTCTAAACACCAAGGCGACTCTTCTTTCGTCTTCTCTCAACTCACGAACCTTGTCTACGCAGCCTCACCAAGGCCAAACTCACTCAATCGAGAACTCATTCACTAACTCACAATGTCCAGGCGATATCAAGAAGGGTGCCAACCTCTTCAAGACCCGATGTGCTCAGTGCCACACCGTTGAGAAGGACGGCGGCAACAAGATCGGCCCTGCCCTGCACGGCCTCTGGGGCCGCAAGACTGGTTCCGTCGAGGGCTACGCCTACACCGATGCCAACAAGCAGAAGGGCATTGAGTGGAACGACGACACTCTCTTCGAGTACCTCGAGAACCCCAAGAAGTACATCCCCGGTACCAAGATGGCCTTCGGTGGCTTGAAGAAGGCCAAGGACCGCAACGACCTTATTGCGTAAGTTTTTTTTACCACACTGAGTTGCAGTCAGCTTTGGACATTGTCTCTGCTTCCTCTCGAGGGTTACAGTGATGCCAGGATTCCAAACTGTCACGCACTCATCCCCCACTGCATCACAACAGTTACTAACAACTCTTCCACAGCTACCTCAAGGACTCTACTGCTTAAGCGACTATAGATCGCGTGTAATGTTACGACTTTCGATAGATGGGGACCGCCAGGGGGCGTTTGTACTATAGACTATACACAGCACTTGTTAAGACATGCCACGTGCTTCGTATCCTATTCCCATCTCTCCTCTTTATGCGACTTCCGTCCGATATAACAAACCCTTTTTTTCTTTCTTCTTTTTTCACCAAGAAGAAAGCCCGGCGTTGGTTTGAGGCGGAAATGGGAATGACATGAGAAACAAAATAAAATGTGTCCGCATCATAGCCCAATTGTTACGATAGAGATATTAACGGGTTTTCAACTCTCACCTCTTTCACTTCATTCGTGTCTCATAATTATGCATTTGGAATCAATTATGAACGTCATTTTTACCATGACACGATGCCACAAACCAATCTCAATGCCGTCAAATCCGATTACATGTCCCCGATACCCGAGCGCCCCGTAAGTAACAAGTAAAGAGGGTCATCCGCGTAAACCGGTTCTTTTTCATGAGCATGTTTTTTTTCGATCCCACTCCAAGTTTTTTTTTCTCATCATGACAGTGTGATTGCCGAGCTATTTCCGTGCGCCTCCGTTGCTCCGGCGGCGTATGCGGGACCTGCGGCGATCGGCGGGCGGTGTGGTTGTCTTGTGATTTTTTGGAGATTTTGGTTTGTTTTTTTACCCCTGACATGAAAATGAGGTTTCATTGACAGGTTTGTTGGAGAAATTTGAGCCACCGTGGCTTGCGTTGGGGTTGGGGTTCGGTGTGACGTGATGATATGGAAGTGTGATTGACGCTGTTGCGATGAGTTTGAGAAGGATTCACTTCAGTATGACTTCATCTTAAGTTTGAGGTTTATGGCAAGCTTATCATAGGGATCATCGTAATTATGATGAGCCAGCAGTCATTTAGAGTATATTTGTAACATAGGGATAAATTAAGTCATAGTGTTAGACGACACTCTAAATCTAATATACTCTAGTATCATCATAAAAATTATCTAGGACTTCCCTAACTTAGCCTCGAGCTTTCGGTACGTCTCAGGATTTTGCACGCTTCTATTGCTTGTCGAGAGGGCATATTCCCAATCAACGGCATCAATTTCCCCAGTTCCAGTCTTAGTCCCCTGAAGGCATCGCCGAAGAGCACTTTCGGCAGCCTTCACATGCAATCCACCTAGATCAGCACCACTGAAGTCGGTGCAACGGCTATCCCGAGCAACAGGCTCGAGACGCTCGAATTCCTCGGCTGTTGCGTCAGGGTGGTTTGTGCGATAGATGGCTCGTAGGATATCGACCCTTTCGTCAGGGGTGGGCAGATCGATGAAGAGGCGCACATTCAGGCGGCCGGGTCGAAGCATAGCCGGATCAATCATATCAGGTCGATTAGTTGTGCCGATGACATACACACCTGTGCGATCTTGAACACCATCGAGCTCCGTGAGGAGAGCGTTGACAACACGAGTGCCTGCCTCTGTAGAAGCGTTATCACGCTTGGGGACGAGGGAATCCATCTCGTCGAAGAAGAGGATGCAGGGTGTTGAGGAGCGTGCGCGGTTGAAAAGCTCGCGTACTGCGCGCTCTGATTCACCGACGTACTTATTGAGGAGTTCCGGTCCGTTGATGAGGATGAAGCTGGCTTGCGCTTCATTGGCAACAGCTTGAGCGACGAGGGTCTTACCGCATCCGGGAGGACCCCAGAGAAGGCAGCCTGCCGGGCGAGAAAGACCAGCACGACGGTAAAGCTCGGGGTCTTTGATGGGCCCGATGATTGACATGTTGAGTTGGTCGCGGGCGGCTTGGAGAGCACCGACTTGGTCCCAAGATATATTGGGGATGACGGTGAAGCCCTCTTTTCGCAGCAAGGGGGTAAAGTCTTTGATAGCCTTTTTGAAATCTTCTTGGGCCAAGGGCGTATTTGGAGGCTCGGGTAAAAGACTAAGAGGTTGTTCGTCTGCGAGTTCCATAAGGTCGGGTAGGTCAGATGATATTGGGAACGGGAGTTCAAGGTGTTTGGGATATTGGCCAACATCCATATGGCGTTCAGATGCAAGTTGCTGTGCGAGCGTCACGACGTTGATAATGTCAGCGCCGACGAAACCATGTGTAATCTTGGCCAGCTCTGCGAAGTCGACAGTCTCTGATAGGTCCTTGTCTCTGGTGACGAGCTTGAGAATATCCTGACGAGCCCCAAGGTCTGGTATCCTCATCTGGAGTGTACGTTCGAAAAGTCCAGTTTTGAGAACTGCGGGATCGACATCTGTGATTCGCGATGTTGTCGCCATGGCAAGAATATGCCTGTCCTTGTCGTGTTCTGTCTCGATTCTTCGCATCTGTCGCATGAATTGGATCACGTTGCGGCGATGGCCCTCGCTATGGCTGCTACCTTCAGGTTTCGACATGTACCAGTCGAGCTGCTCGATGAGGATGATGCATGGGGCTATTTTCATGGCTTCTTCAATGGCATCGTTCAAACTCCTCTCCAGACGCTCTGGTTCTTCAAAGCAGCCTGTAAGAGACACAATCGGCACGTCGATTTTCGAAGCAAGGAATCTAATTAGCGACTTCTTGCCGATTCCAGGCGGACCAGAGAGCAGGATTCCAGGGACCTTTCGCCAGCGGTTGACGGCGAATAGTTCTGGCCATTTCAAAACGTAGTGCGTTTGTTTGCAGAGCTCTGTATAGATTTCGGCCACGCCTCCGATCTGTATCGAGTTGGAAGGATGCTCGACCTTGTGGCGGCTCGACTTTTGCGTCTTCTTCAGAGGTGTTTTGTCTTGCTTTTCCGCAGGTGCAGCATCTGTATCCGTCAAAGCACCCTTGGGTGTGATCGCACCATCCTTTGCTCGCTCTTCACCATCTTCCTGCACTCGTCGCTTCTTGATCGCGCGAGGTGCTTCGCTCGTGGGTGGAGTCGCCGTATCTGCAGTCGTAGCAGTTGTCGTGTTCTGATGCCAGTGCTTCGTCATTTGTCTATTAAGAAGGAAACGGTCGTCGTCGGGCTTGGGCGGTTCTTCGAGATCAGCTTCGGAGTCGCTTGAATCGCCTAGCTCTTCCTTGCGAAACTGAAGTACACGGTCGATTGAATCTTCGAGAGGGCGTTTCTTCTGTCGGCTAAGGCTGGAATTTGACCTCTTGATAGCTTCGTAGACAGCTGTTGTGGTCTTGAAGGGCTTGCCGTCATTCGCATCCTCGAGCTTCTTCATAACCATGTATACATCGCGGTCGAGGCCCTGCCTCAAGTTGAGGCGAGGTCTTTTGGCCCCTAGAGTCATTGTTCCCAGAGACTGGTGTCGCGTCACCTAGAATCGACTTTAATGTTAATGGGAGGTTGAAGATCTCTGAAGACTGTGGGTGGAAAAAAAAGTTGAGAGGCCCAAGTGGTGACAAAAATAGAAGGACGCGCCACTACTTCAGAACGAATATGGTCCTACTGACGATTGAGAGAGAATCTAGCCCGCCAAGCATGGGGGAAACATCAGATGAAGGCCATTTTTTCAGCTAAAACTTAAGGTCTAGAAGTGACTTTATGACCTGTAAAGACGTTAATTCTAAGGTTACTATGTTTTTTGTTGTTGTTGTTGGCATGGTGTACCATGCTTTATACAGTGTTGCAACATGACTGTGTGCCTTTTGGCTTTACTAGATGCTGAGGCATTATGCTGCCTAATTGAAGCAGTCCTAGGTACTATTTGATTCTTAGATAAGATTTATTACTTTTAACTAACCTTAGGAAAGATACCATAACTCTCTTATGTTTTAATGAAAACTTTTACTCAAGTTTTATATAATCTCTACTAATAGCTCAAAAGCTGCTCATGGAATTATGTCAACTAAGAGGGGCTTGGCTTATCGATAAGACCCTGGACCCCAGTATCGGCGGCCGATGACGATGGTTCCCTCGTGACAATCGCTCGCTATCATTGAAGCGAAACCAGAAGCTCGAAACTCCCAGCCTCGACTTGAAAAACCACACAATTTCTCCCAGCAACCTCACGATAAGCTCATACACCACCAAACCCATCGCCACGATCCTCATCATGGGCGGAAACGCAAGTAAAGTCACAGCCCAGGACAAGTCCGTCCCTCCCACTCCCCGCGATTGCGCTCGTGACCGCCTTCAATACTAACAATCTCAGGGCCATTCTGGACATGAAGAACCAGCGCGACAGACTTCACCAATACCAACGGCGCATAACGGTCCTTACAGATAAAGAGACCGATATCGCAAAGCAGATGCTGGCCAAGGGCGACAAGAAGCGCGCTCTATTAGCCCTACGGCGCAAGAAGTATCAAGAGTCGCTGCTGGCCAAGACAGATGCGCAATTAGCTCAGCTGGAGAAATTGACGAACGATGTCGAGTTTGCGCTTATACAGAAAGATGTGGTGTTTGGGCTGCAGCAGGGTACAAAGGTTCTTAAGGAGATTCATGCTGAGATGGGTGGGATTGAGAATGTGGAGAAGTTGATGGGCGAGACGGCGGAGGCTATTGCATACCAACAGGTGCGCTACAATGAAACTGCTGTTTTGCGAGTTGGAATATGCTTACACTCTTCTAGGAAGTCAGCGATATGCTTGGAGGTCGTATCTCGAACCAGGACGAGCAAGAGGTGGAAGACGAACTGGAAGCTCTCGAAGCCGAACTCACAGGTCCAGCCAAGTTACCCTCCGTTCCCGTGGCGAATCTACCAGAATCACAGAAGGACCAACAAGTCGAGGCACAAGCCGAGAGAGCGAAGCAACCAGCCATGTTGGCAGCATAGATGGGGGAGAGACATTTTGGTTTCAAGCATCTTGGACAGAGCATTTACATTTCGAGACGTTCTACTATACTTAGACTTTGGGTGTATACAGCGGGTAACACGAGGCGTTGAGGCATTTCTGCATTTGAATCATGAAATACAGTATCTTGAACTTCTATCTCTATGCGTACTTGCTGATGAGTTTCTTCATGATGGACATGGCGCCTCCTCGGTAGCCACCGCCGAACATGGCATAGTGGTTGAGATGGTGGTATCTGAGACGATGTTAGTATCCTGGTGTTTGAGGAAAGGGGCGATCTTACAGTTCGTATAGCTTCACTCTGTCCGGCCACTCAGCTACTGGCTCTGCCTTTGGTACCAGCTCATGATACTCTTTCCAGAAGTGATTGGTGAAGCCGCCAAACATGTTCATGATGCCGAGTTCAAACTCAGAGTGGCCATACACTGCCGAGGGATCATAAACGACTTCTTCGCATCCGCCTTGGCCCCCAATCTGCCCCTTGGAATGGTTTCCGCTCCATAGATCGCCATGGATAACGACAGGTTTGATGTTCTTGACAACATCATCCCCAATCAACCGCGGAACTACCTTGCTCGCAACTTTCTCAACAACTTCTTCAAGTTCTGGATCAGAACCATTGTTGCGAACAGCCTGGCGCGTGACATGTCTCAGCCGATTGTTAGCGTAAAAGTCAGCCCACGATTCTCGGCACGAGTTATCTTGCTCTGTAGCACCGCAGCATGTGGGAACTGGGAACCCAAACATTGGCTTGTCGTAGCCTTCTGGGATGGGAGCAGGCGTTGTGTGCAGCTGAGCAACCTTTGAAGCTAGAGTCCTGCCTGAACCACCGGGAGCTGAAGACCCCAGATCAAGAAAGTCAGTAGCTAGGAAGTGTTGTCCTGGACGGCCTGTGAGAGCTCCATGGGCGTGGGATCTGGGACAGAAGTTTGGAACTGAGTCTGCTATGGCGTTAAGGGAGGCGTGTTCACCTGAGCTGTGTTAGATCATGATATCAGACAGTTGTGTATGAAACGTATATTTACCCCTAAACATAACCTCAGCTTCCTTCCCTGTCCCCGTCTTGACAAAGTAATTCAAAGGTTTCCCATCCTTCTCAGACGTTATCTTGAACGTAGATGCAAAGCCCGATCCACCATGAGAGTTCATGGCCGAGTTGGCGGGGTCAAGCCCCAGGGCCTCGATGATAGCGGGGTCGACTTTCGTATGTGGCATGATATGTTTTGGGGTATATAAGCGTGGTGATATCCAGGTACGTGAGTTGTTTGCGGTGTTTTCGAACTCAACTTGGCTGGTATGAAGATGGGAAGATGTGTGGGATGATGAGGTGACGTCAAAGCTTTGGTGTTAGTAATGCGAAAATATGCACGGAGGCTTGGAGCATTGCGACGTAGCGACATACGCTGCTTATTTTCTCTGAGATAATGTAGATATAGAGAGAGATATGATGCGATCATTTCATCATAGCAAGATGTTACCGTAGACGTTGTTTAGTGAGTGTCCAAGCCGTGTGTGTCTGTAAATAAACTGTTCACTTCATTAAGGCGCCTTCCAAACTATGGCCAACCCAAGTTTGTTATTGGAGTGAACAGCGAACCGTCTCAGCAGCTTGAATACAATACCCAATCACGTAGTATCATGCTCATGGGAAACTGCTATTAGAAGTTTAATCGGAGGTTCATGTTCACATATTGAAGTCTGGAGCTTTTTGACTCGGAGTGAGTGGGGCCGGCCGGGAGCTAACTGTAATTCGCGGCGCCGGTCTTTTACATATCGGGCCGTCCTCCGGATGGTCTTCCAGAGAATGAGACACCCCTTGGGAAATGAGAATGTAATTCATGTATGTGTGGATCCTAGTGAACAGTCGAAGCAGGAGAGTCTGTTCAGCACAGTTATCAGATGATTGAATGCAGCAGGTGACGATGACACTGTGCATTGACGATAAAGGGCTTGCACGCAATGAACCCATGAATAGTGATTCCTAAGTAATGAGGTAACTAAGTTAAAGCGTATCTTACATCTCATGTTAAGCTAAAAATGTACTAGGCTTGTCATGTTCTTTGTTACATCATTGCCACGAGTGAATGGGCTAGAGTCTCAAATGCTGTGACATTTGCAGCCCAGTTCCATGCTTTTCTTTCTTTTGTGGGTAACAGAAGACCCTAGATCTGAAGAGTACCTGCAGGATCTTCCAGATTACTCTACTTGGGCTGCTCTCTTAACTGGCAAGGTGGGCATTGTGCGGCTCCTAGTTAACCGATATCTTAGCTGTACCTACAGGAGTTACAGTTACTTTCGCGAAGAGAGCAGGGAATGATCGGGTCCGACTTTTGATGATGAGCTCACAGTCCGACAGTACTCTATTCAGTAGTATCAGGTACCTTATCTAACATAATAATACGTAAACTCCGCCTCGGAGCCGATCCGAATCAGTACTCCGCTCATCGGATGAGCCCACATCGGCCCCGTCAAATCCAAGCCCAGTCAATTCCCAGTCATATTTCTGATGTGACAATGACATCCCTTGTTGTTTCCGAACAAACGCCAATCGCAAGTAATGGTATAGATCAAAAACTCCATAAGTTAAAACTCGCTATACGTTCCGATAGTAATTCGTCAGACCAGGGTTCGTTTTCGGTCTCATTGTTTGGTGGGGGTCTCAATGTATGAGGATGCAGCATAGGTTGTACCGCTGCTGAGTGATGCGTTATCTGAGTCGACGGTTGATGATGTCCCTGATGGCGATGAGGACATGGAGAATGAGGCTGAGTTGTTGGAGTGTGAACCGCCGTTGAAACAGGTTGTGCATGGGCATAGAGGGCTGTTTGTCATTGGTGGTGGAGGTGCGCAGTGGCGAGCGAACCAACTCTTGACTGAGGAAGGCATCTTGAGTATGAGTGAGGTTGATATAGTTGTAAGTGAAGTTGAGTTATGTTGAGTAGTAAGATCTAAGACTTGTTGAGATTAAAGATATCTCAAGTGTAATGTGAAGTTGTGTGAGTCGCTTGCTAAGATCAAAGAAGACAAGAAAGAATAAACTACGCTTCCACGAAAGAATGAAGAGGATGCCTTGAGTATTTATGTTTCTGTAGTTTCAATAGCATGTGGGACCAACAACCAACCCGAGCTTCTCCTTTGCAAAAGATTCTTCTCATCCATCAAAATCTCGAAGCCATCCAAGACCACCCCTGACCCATGCACGGCAACAAAATGGGGCAGCCTCCTCTTCTCAGCCGGATACCGAGAGACGTCCGGAAAAAGAGTGGGTTCGCAAATCTACATCTCACATTGCGATACCTTCACTTTTTACCACGTTCCTTTAGACGTTTTATATCTCCTCCTACGAATCTCTCTCTGGACAGGATTCCCCAGAGCCAAGACCCTTTCTTACATGGGATGGATTATGGCGCGGTTTTGTTCCCCTCACGACAATCTCCATTTCCCCGCGTTTTCCCCCCAATCGTCGGCCTGGGGAAGGGGGAAGGTAAGGGGACACGTGCTAGACGGGGGATAAGCGCGGCAACTGATCAAAGTTGTGGCCTTGTTTTGACGTGCAGTTGCATTGGCTTGTGAGCTTGTGAAGTTTGGGTGTTGCGTGTTGAGGAGGAAGTGGTTTGGAGGCGTTGGCACGTGAGAATGACGGATGATTGAGTGAGCTCACTACGAGACAGGACAGCAAAGGCATAGCATGCAGCAGTTACTTGGTTGTAGCTTGCATTACTGTTTATAATAGCTACTATAGTTCAATGGTCTGAGTGTGGTGCTCTTGTAAGTAATCTGGTCCATATACTGAATTAACTTTCACAACGTGTATACAGCCAGCAACAGTTGACTTAGACGCTCAAAACCACCACGTATAAACAACACTAAGCAATGAGAATTAATCCTTCTCAAATCAAGTCTTTTTCCAAATCACCCTATATTTCATCATCCCTCACCATCAGCCTCATCACTATAATCCCCAACATCACGAGACTCACCATCATCTACAGATTCCATCTCAGATACTCTTCCCGCGTCGGTCTTGCGTCGGCATTCGCAAATCCTACCTCACACCTCACTTCGCCTCTATAAAACTTGCATGCGGCTCTTCCGCAGTGGATCTGGAAATGAAACCGACGCAATTCCCGCCCTTGAACCTCAACGGAACGAGAACCTATTGGTTAATAGCTTGTTCCCCTTTGCGGCTCGATCCGATGTCTTATCTACGTCAGGAGATTTCCATCATTGAAACGTGGGTCTTTGGCAAGGGGAATAACCGAGGGTAAAACTTGTTCAGAGATTTCATTCTTGGTGAGTCATGAATATCTGTGCTCGGTCATGTTTGGTTCATATGATGTGATGAATGCTGTGGAGTTAAAGGGTGAGAAAAGAGAAAATTCACGATATTAACAGGGAGTCGTGGAAAAGTTGAGGCTGACTTTAGGTTGTGATGGTGTGCGGTGAGACGAGAGATCGCCAAGCCTTGCCCGTGATGGGTGGCTTTCAACTGCACCTCGACGATCTACCGTATTCCCGGACAACTTCTTCCTCTTCTTCTTGTAATTATCACCCGAAGAAGTCATTTCAATACCTATCGTACTATTATCTAACCCCCTAATCCATTATTAATACATTTTGTCAACAAGTCGAGATCATCCCATTATGAGCTAAGAATGCGGCTCTGAGACGATGCATGAAATTGGACCCTTACATCCGAGAGACTTATTAGCCGAGTCTGGACCGAAACAGCGAATCGTCTTCTTATACATATTTAGTGTAGCAGCCCATCTGTGACTTGTTCCTTTTACTCAGTAGACTTGTCTTTGTTGAGAATGACTCTTCCGACACCTCAGCTGTTCTCATCACTCCAGAGCGCATCACGATATAGAATGGACTCAATACAAGCCAAAGTTGGCTGCATGGGACAGTCTTCTTCTGTCAGGCCTGAGGTAACACGATTATGAGTCTTGAGAACCTCATTGTCTGAGCGTCATCTCACGGGACATGACATGACGGATCGTCACCCTCGATCTCACACGCCACGCCAGATCACAAATCACAGCATCAGGAATACAACAGTTGCAGGGCGTGGATACGCGAAAAATCATCTTGTTGGAGACCATATCGCCCATCCATCCTTTGAATCATCCGTCCTTCTATCGAACCAATCGGACACATTTGAGAGCATCGAAACCATGTGTCTTATGAGCAGCGAGCTCCAAGACCGACCGATGCATGCTAAATTAAAAAAACAGGAATATCCACCCATGTCTCCCACTCTTTTCATGAGTGTTTGTTTCATCTACTCTCGGTTTTGGTTGGAACCGCAGCCTCCTGGAGCTCAAGTCTCACATCTTGTTATTATATCATATCCTTCACCACTGCTCATCTAACAGCTTTTCAAGTGGTGCTGTTTAGATACCGAGGGTGAACTCGACACCGACATCGATGTCACGGGCTATTCAAGTGTTAGCAATCAGAACAGACCCTATAGTGGTTAAGGTGACTTACCCATCTTGACGACCTTGGACAGCTGGACAGCCTTCTCGGCGGCGGTTTGTAGGTCATCGATGGAGAAGATCTTGAGACCGGAGTCGTTGATGAGCTGGTGAGCCTGCTCAACGTTGGTACCCTGGAGACGGGCAATGATGGGGATCCTGAGGTTCATGCTCTCAACGGTCTTGATGAGACCAGTGGCGATAGCGTCACATCGGACGATACCACCGAAGATGTTGACAAAGATAGCGGTGACCTTGGCATCGCTGGTGATGAGCTCGAAAGCCTCTCGGATGGCAGCGGGGGTGGCACCACCACCAACGTCGAGGAAGTTAGCGGGCTGACCTCCGTTCAGCTTGATGATATCCATGGTGGCCATGGCAAGACCAGCACCGTTGACAAGGCAGCCGATATCACCGTCAAGCTTGATGAAGTTGAGGTTGGACTCAGCAGCGCGGACCTCATCGGGGTCCTCCTGAGTGGTGTCGCGCCACTCAAAGACATCCTTCTGTCGGAACTCGGCGTTGTCGTCGAACCCGAACTTGGCGTCCATGCAGAGAACCTTGTGGTCAGAGGTCTCGGAGAGGGGGTTGATCTCAATCTGGGTAGAGTCCTTCTCGGTGAAGATCTTGTAGAGCTTCTGGATGGTGTCCTTGGCCTCCTCGATGCACTGCTCGCTGAAGCCGAGCTTGGTAGCAATCTCGCGGGCGACCTCATCGGTAACACCGACGTTGATGTCGATGTAGTTGGTGTTGATGGCATCGGGGGTCTCCTTGGCGACGGTCTCAATGTCCATACCGCCCTGGGAAGAGGAGACGATGACGGGGCACTGGTTCTGACGGTCCATGAGGATGGCGAGGTAGAACTCACGACGAGCAAACTTGCGCTCGCAAATGTAGACAGCGTTGCAGAGACGGCCGCCAGCACCCGTCTGCTTGGTGATGAGGTTGTGGCCGATCATCTGCTCGGCGAACATCTCAGCCTCGTGGGGAGAGTAGATGACACGGACACCACCCTTGAGGCCGTTGTCGAAGGTACCCTTTCCTCGGCCACCGGCAAGGACCTGGGCCTTGATAACCATATCATCGTTGCCAATCTTCTCAGCGATCTCCTTGGCCTCCTTGGCGGACTTTGCGACGGAGCCCTTGGGGACGCCAATGCCGTACTGTTGGCGGTTAGCAGCCGTGATTTTTTTGAGGTAAGTCCCGTAGTTTGTAATTCGTAGTATCGACGATCGTCAAAGGGGGGACTTTGAGTAGATAAAACCTTACCTGTCGGAGGAGGTCGGCAGAGAGGTACTCGTGAATGCTCAGAGCTCGTCGTTGTTGAACGCCAGGGAATCGAGCGGCAGGGGCAGCAAACTGGAGCTATTAAGCAACAAAGTTAGCAACAGTTTATATACCAAGCGCATCACCAAGCTTTTGTTTAGCGGGCAATAATTGGGACGTACCTTTGAGGCGTTGAGGGCCGAAGCCACAGCACGACTACGGCCGAGCTTGAACATTGTGACAGATGAAGGAAGAGAGGAGATTGGGGATAAGATTGAGAAGGGAAGGGGGGGAGGACTTGAGGGGATAAAGAGAGAGAGAGCGGTTTAGATCGTCACAAGGAGGTACAGTAGAAAAAGAGGTTTTCGGATGATGAGGAAAACCAAATCCACGAAGCTACGGCGCTCAATCAATCAGGAGCCTCAGACAGACCACTAACCTAGGCTTGTGCTCTGTGGTTTGATCCACTATTTTGGGCACGGGATTTGTCGGGCTAAGGTAACTTGGAGACAGACGAGACAAGTAAGTATACGGAAAAAGACATTCACCGATTGACAATGATATAATTGTGCTATTTGTGGTGCATTTCATGTTTTATGATGCCTTTGTTACCCGTTTCCTGTCTATAACTGACTCTATCTAATTGACTTTACACAGAGTTGACTTCAACGTCCTCGGCGATGCTGTAAAATATATTGCTTCTCCGAGCAAATGACACGACATGACATGACATCCAACACCTGTTCTCGCGACCTCGTCACATTTGCATTGGATCTCGGTGACCAAGATCCAGCATCTACCATCCTCAGGGCTCTAACAAATCCACTTTTTTACTAACCGCCAAACCTATTCCAGCGCGGCACAAGACTACCGAGCTGTGAAAACCGGTCATGCAAATCCGTCTCGGGTGAGTCCAAGGTGAAGCACGAATAAAAAACGTTGTCGAGGGATACTAAAACGTCTCCGGGTTTCGGCTACAACAGGCATGTTGTTGACCGTATTTCCCCCACATGGAGAAAGACGTCCAGTGATAGGATATTTATTGAATTTGAATTCAACTTCATGATTTTCATTCTTGTATACAAAATAAAGTTAATGCCTCATCAAAGACTAATTCATGTAAATCCACCAAACGGTGTTCCTATAACCTTCCCCTTATCATCCCATCTCACTCCCTCGCCTCTTAATAGCTTTCTCTTCTCGTCAAGAGTGATTCCCTCACCATCTTTAGGCCACTTTCCCTTGAACCCACCCAGTGCACCTCCAGTAGCTACAACGCGGTGACATGGTACTTCTGGTGCAAATGGATTTCGTCGCAGCGCATTGCCTACTGCCCGTGGGGAGGATTTCAAATGTGCGGCCATGATACCGTATGTTGAGAAGCTACCCCGTGGAATCTGGCAGAGAAGCGTCCATACCCTCTTCTCAAAAGGTGTGCGGCTGGATGCTTCGATAAGAGCGAGTTGAGGAGCCATGATTGTGGTAAAGTAAGCAGGCGAGATTGGTGAAGTAGGTGATGCTTGTTTCTTGGTCTTTGTGACTTTGACTTTTCGTTCCTCTTGGGGTTCCTCAAGGAGTCTCTTGCTTTTGGTGGTTGCTGCCATAACTCTGTCTCAGTAGACGCGCAAATAGGGGAAAGTATCTTGAACTATATGCCTTGGGTAAGTTGGTGTGTGTTGATTTTTGGCTTGTAATGATTTGCAATGATTTGCAATGTTCAAGTGCTTCGAATGAATTAAATGAAAGGGTCACAGGCTTTAAATCACGGTCATTGAAGATGCGTCACGTCAAAGGGCGTGGTCGACGCCAACATCTAGAGCAACACATATCGCGAAGTCATGTGACTCGCATCAATAGGCAGCCATACTGGTATATGCTGTACACACGAATGGCTTACATATTTGGAACATGCAAGAGATTGTGTGATAGCGAATATTTCTGAGAGGAAGGTATCCCTTCATCGGCATAGGCACGGTGAACTCGAGGATATGTCTTGTCGCTCGACTTACACATAAGCTCCACAGGCAGCTTAGAATGAAAGACAGCCATGTATACACGAGCGAGGCTGCTTACCTTACCTATACAACAGCGTCTATACATATATATAGAGCAAAAAGAAGTCTTGTTAACAATGAAACAAAAAAACAAATGTTCAAGATTAGGATTCGAACCCAAGAATCTTTCGATACTGCAAGAACCCAGTTAACCGAAAAAGACAACGTCTCGAGTGCAGCGCCTTAGACCACCCGGGCCATCTTGACCAACTCTGAAGATGTGCTTCATGTTAAACGAGCAAAACAAAACGGGACTATACACCAAAGGCGAATCTGCCTACTGGTCTTCTCGATCGCTTTCCTTATTCTGTAACCCTGTTGGAACGGAGCGTCTGGTTCAATTCACATTGGAGAACAGCTGGATCCAACTTCAGCATGTTTGACTTGACGCCCCAAATGGATGTGAAGTTGTTAATGCGTTGAGGCTTCGAGAGCCAGCTGTCACACATCTCAAGGCTTCATGTGATACACGATCTTACCTAAGAGCTTAACACGAGAACAGTGTACAGAGTGCAATGAATAAGCAATATACTTTAATATGTAGCCAGCGCTCTTATTCACATGAACATCGTCATTCCAATATAGAGAACCCCCTGACCGTGACCATCTCATTACTCCATGTCTCTTCATTTCTGTACCAAAAAGCGGCACACTGGTATATGTATGTATGTATATGTGTTTTCTCAAGTAGAGGGAGGTGATGTCTCCAATCTAACCCAACGCCAATGATTATGCCAATCCTATTTACTGGCTACCATGCCTGCACCCAACGGCTCCTGTTTTTGGTTTTTACAAGGTGCGACTCGCAAATGCTTCTGTGCATGCTGTTTTTTGCTCACCTTTGGTCGTCAAGGAACTCTAATGTCTCTTGTGCTGAGACGACGGGAATGCTTCTTTCATATCCCTGTCGTTCGAGCATGAATGACGTCGTCTCGTGGATGATCTTTTGTTTCGTATATACTGGTGCGGTGGCCAAACGCTGGCTTCCATTCTAGACCATGAAGGACTCTCCGCAGCCGCATTCCTCCTCTGAATTGCATGTTAGTATCATGTTTAAACTGTGAGTGTTGTGGCAACTTACTGATATTCGGGTTCTTGAACACAAAGCGCTGGTTAAGCTTATCCTCAACATAATCCATCTCACTCCCAATAATACTAAACAGTGCCTTGCTATCAATCAAGACCTTAACACCATCCTGCTCAACCGTCTCGTCAAAAGTACCCGGCTTATCGACATATTCAAGGTGATAGGCCAAGCCACTGCATCCTCGGTTCCGTACTCCGACCTTGATGAGCTTAGGTTCCGGCTGATCCAGCAATTCTCGTAATTGTTCCACCGCAGAGGGCGTCAACTTCATAGCGGCCTTGCGCGGTCGCAGCTTGGGTCGTGGTCTTGCTGCCTTTGGCTTCTGAGCTTCTGTTTCGCTGAGCTTCGGAGCTGATACCGATGTGGCGGGAGTAGCATTTTGTGTTGGTGCGGGTTCTTGCTGCTTTGGCGGTTGAGGATGCTGAGGTTGTTGAGGAGGAGGTCGTGTCTCGTGGACTTTAGGAAGAGGATCAGGTTGTGTTATTGAAGTTTCAGGAACGTCGTCGTTTCTCGGAGGCGTCGAGGTATGGGTTGGAAGGGTATATGAATGGTAGGACACAGCGAGAGGTCTCGACGTTGAGAATTGCCTCAGAGGGCATCCTCGTCGCAGGGCGATTCTTGCTATCGATCTTGAGAACATTGTGGGCGCATGTGGTGATGATGTTGAGGTTGAGGATTGGTATCGAGAGGCAAAGGTTTAGTGGATGGATAGTGGAGGCTTATGATTTCAAAGCCCGGCTCCTCGGTGCTAGAAGGCGTTTGTTGCCGGAGACCGCTGGTACGTCAGAATGGCTCCCCGATCTTGTCCGAGCGAATCAGAGTGTGAGAATTTGTCAGGCTCACGTGATGTTGATGGGCAGATTCAACAAAGGGAGGCCATGGCAATCATGACAAATAATGGCATTAGAAACATATCATAATCGTCTTTTGTTTCTTTGACAATTTAATTGTGCAATGTAAGCTTGTTCGAATTAGAAAGTGTTGTTCAGAGACCGCATATGCAGTATTATGTGAAGCTAAAATTGCACGGTTTTCATGATGAACCAAAGAAGGCCATCAAGGTTTGTAAACCTGACAACCAGTCATATAATCCAATATAAATATCCTTTTTAAGACAGGCATGCAGTTCTCCGATTGGATTCATTGATGATGGACACAAATTGTGGCTTGGTAAACTGATGTTCTATTGGAGGTCTTGCTTACACCAGGTTTCATAAGCTGGTATGTCACCAACTGCCAACATGACAGGCTGTGCACTGGCATCTGTTGTAAATCATCATGCACACTTTATTTAGCTGGCATTGTCATAGTAGTACCTTGCATATCAAAACAATCCTACCCAATAGCTCTTCGTCCTCTTCCATGAGAACACCAAATGGGGCAGGAAGACATTTATACACGAACCCATGCGATGGAACTACCTACACCAAAGCACTTTAGACCCCAATTGATTGCGACAAGTCATGGTACCGAGGACACGGATCGTCAATCTTGACCCATGCAGCAGAAGCGATTGTTATATGCAGGCTCGCTAAACAGAGTTACAACCAGGTCAATGACAGTTGTTTATCTCAACAACGTAACATGCATATCAGTAACTATCACTATCACGATGCAGCAAGGCCAAGACTCCATTCATATCTCCAACTCAACTCACTGTAACCAGCTAATCAATCAGTGGATCGCTTTATCTCGGTTTACCTACTCAGAAGGAACACAGTAACCCCAACAAATGCGGCTGAAGTGAAACGTAGTTAAATCCACGAGTATCAAATCAGGCAGGCCGTGGAACCGGTCGACATAAACTATCGTGGTATCCGCAGTTTGAGCGAAACGTTACATGCGGATATAAATTAATTGGACCTCTCACCTCATGGTCAGAGCTTGGGAGATAGCTAAGACTTCGGGTTATCGTGATCAGTATCGGATGTTACGAGAACAAAGAACTTACGGGGCCAGTGAGATATTCTAAAAACAAGATGGCAAGATGACAATTTTCGTAATGAGACTTTGCATCTTCGTATTGGTATTTCTATGTATAGGTATCTTGGGTGTTGTGACTTGAAGAGACACAAAACGGTTGGTTATTGGTGAACCGTTCAACTGGTTACGGGCTGTGAAGTCTGGAGATTTGCTGTTGTTGGACCAATCACGGAGCTTCACAGTCGGGCCTTTCCCCTGGAAGACCCTAAAATTGATCTGGGGTTTGGAGACAACTAAAATGTCCAACGGCTTGTCCTGAAGCGGCATCAGAAAAGCAACCATGAATTCTACAGTAACTACTCCGTGTATGTAAATGTTACTATCGCCAAGAACCATATCATCAAGTTCAACTTGCAGATGGATTGCAATCTATGACCTCAACAGACCAAATCAGCCACTCTCATCTCAGCCTGGTCGTAGAATCCACAATTGTTCTCACAAAGCTAAGGTTGGTAGAACGTTACCTACCAATGGGGCATCTGTGACCTCCACGAACGTTACCGTTAGGGTACGCCACTCAAGTTGGATAGCCTCTCAGGTTTGAGAAATGTTACCCCATGGAGACGATGGCTTTTTGATCTTGTGAATCCGGGGAATACCGTGGACGTTTTGGGAGTGAGTTTGAGGTTCTGCGTGTAGTTTTATGGTGGTTGAGATGATACGAGTTGAAGACTTGGCGGTTGAAAGCAGTTAACTCTCTATTGAGGGAACGGAATTGGCCTTGTTGCAGAGCCTCACTCAACTCTTGATATTAATCTCTCTGTCGATTGTTGTTATATGTAATACCTGACGATATCTTCACAAATCAATACCTACGATATCTGTCATTGTCGGCCTCGCCCGATACGTTGATAATAATGGAAAAATACGCCACCACTGTAAGCGGATCGACACCCTCCATCCATTGTTGCATCTCCCCATTAACCCCCTGTAACTAACCCGCACCACCCTCAGAATTCCCCATCTTCTATCCATCCATCCCATCTCATCCACACTCTCACCACTTCACGAGACCCCTGACAATCCATTTCCTTCTTTTTTCTCTTCGCTTTCTCGTGATACAGTTCCCCAATTGTAACTATCAAGACGGGCAGGGGTTATTGGTCTAGTTTATTTTGGGGGACCCTCACGATAAAGTACGTCGCGTGCCTGAATCTCTCCATCTTTTCTCACGACTACTTTAATTCTGCTACATCCGGGATTTATTTGTGTTTCTTATTCTATTCATTCATCTTCTTGTCTTCAGTTGTTTAGAGAAGCATATCGATTGTCTTATACAGGGCATTGACCCTCATCTCAACATCAACATCAACATCAACACACAATGTCTACTCACGAGAAGGAAAATCCCATCACCCAAGCGGCTTCAGAATCCGCAGACTCAGATACACCAGGCTTCCGCCCCAAAGGATGGATGTACAAGACCGTTCGCATCGCTGGCGTTGACCTATGGTACGCCTCGCCCAAAGTCCAACTTCTCATGGTCTCCATCGTCTGCTTCTTATGTCCCGGCATGTTCAACGCCCTGACTGGCCTCGGAGGTGGCGGCCAAGTCTCCAATGAAGCTCAGGACCACGCCAACACGGCTCTCTACAGCACTTTTGCCGTCATTGGTTTCTTCGCTGGTACTTTTGCAAACAGACTTGGACTTCGTCTGACTTTGTCCATTGGAGGCTTGGGATATTGTGTTTATGCTGCTTCGTTCTTGTGCTATACGCATACTCAGAATATGCCATTTGTTGTCTTTGCTGGTGCCCTCTTGGGTCTTTGCGCCGGACTCTTGTGGGCTGCTCAGGGATCTATCATGATGTCTTATCCTCCTGAGCAGAGTAAGGGACGATATATCTCTTGGTTCTGGGTCATCTTCAACATGGGTGCTGTCATCGGTTCTCTTGTGAGTTACTGCTACCTATCCTTTTAAATTCTTACTAACAAATAATAGATCCCCCTTGCTCAGAACATCAACAAGAAAGCTGGCCCTGTCTCCGATGGCACATACGCCGCTTTCATCGCTCTCATGGCCATCGGTGCCGTCCTCGCCCTCATGATCTGCGACGCCGACAAGATCGTTCGCGAGGACAACACCAAAGTCATCGTCATGAAGAACCCCTCATGGAGCACCGAGATCAAGGGTCTATGGGAAACACTCTCCCACGCCCCCTGGGTCGTCCTCCTGTTCCCCATGTTCTTCTCCTCAAATATCTTCTACACCTACCAAAACGTCAACATGAATCTCGCTCAGTTCAACGTTCGCACTCGCGCCCTTAACAACTTGCTCTACTGGCTTGCTCAGATCTTTGGTGCCCTTATCGTTGGATATGCTCTTGACATTTCTAGCGTTCGTCGCAGTGTCCGTGCAAAGATCTCCCTGGTCGTCCTCTTTGTTCTGACCTTTGCTATCTGGGGTGGTGGCTATGCCTGGCAGAAGGACCAGCGACCTCGTGAGATCGCTATGAATCCTGCCAACGAGGATGACAAGATTGACTGGGACGATGGTGCTCACAAGTTTCTTGCTCCCATGTTTCTCTACTTCTTCTACGGCTTCTTCGATGCTGCTTGGCAGACTTGCATCTACTGGTACATGGGTGCTCTCTCCAACTCTGGCCGCAAGACAGCCAACTTTGCTGGTAAGTCTCAATTATCCCTTTCACTTAGACTATGTCTATATCAGATCACTAACTCAGCAATTCAGGTTTCTACAAGGGTATCCAATCCGCCGGTGCAGCCATCTTCTGGCGTCTCGATGGCCTCGGCAAGCCATTCGACACCATCTTCGCCGCTACATGGGCCTGTCTCGGTGCCTCGCTCGTCATCGCCGCGCCTGTTATCTTCATGAAGATCCAGGACTCTGTCCCTGTTGAAGAGGATCTTAAGTTCAGCGACGAGAAGATCGAGGATGTCATTGTCGCACCTACGGATAAGAAGATCGCCCTCACAGAGGCGTAGATAAGAGAGAGATAAACGCAAATACTATTTATAAGAATACTTAATAATTTAATGACATATCGGCGTTCAGCATGTAAGCATTGGATTGGGTTGGTGCAGGGGACACGATACCTATGGGCTGGGTTTTGGCTTGATGATGTGTTGCATTGCATAAAGCGATTTAATGAAGGTTTACGGTTCTATCTAGAGGAATACATATGCCCTCGGCGGCTTTCTCTCTTCATCTTCAAATGCCTTACTAGTAAAATGAATGCAGTTCTGCCATGATACTCATCAAGTCGTAGCCCACGTCATGGACTCATGGACACAGTCAGCTCAACTTGGCACCTAAACATCAAATCACAATTGCAGATGAAACAATATTCAAGGACAATTAGATCCTAATTTTTCTTTGTGTTCTTCCTATTCTATTGCAGAATACATCCATTTTGTCTTTCTTTTCCATCACCTGTCCTGCCTGTCCAGTCCTTGTGCCACCCGACTCCTTTCCCAGAAGTTCAATGATGAATAACAAACGTAAAACGACAGGCTTGCCGTCTCTTTTTCATACAGTAAGAATCAGATACACTCGTTTTCGCACCGGCGGCGTTGAGAATGCATTAAAAGAAACCCAATAATAGAAAAATAAAACAACCCGGGCACCCATGATCGTTTGCAAGCCGTTTTCGAATGCACCCGTGCCCAGAGGCTATTTTTCGTTTTTCCACCGCC